AGGACTTCCTTGAGGGCAAGAAGCTCCAGGGCGCGCTCGAAGCGGCCAGCGCGCCTGAGGCTATGCGCACGGCGATGCTGGGCATTAAGTCGTTCGCGTTCAGGCAGGCTCTCGCTTGCCCAGGCGTCCCAGTAGTGGGGTGCTAGGGTGGGTTTCTCTTCAGGCGTGGCGCTGAGTGGAGGGAGGGGCGGGGGGGGTGGGGGGGGGGGGGGGGGGAGGGGGGGTGGGGGGGGGGGGGGGTGGCGGGGGGGTGGGAGGGGATTTGTGGGACGCTGAGCTGACTTTGGCTTAGGTTAGCGTGCGTCACGCCAGGTTTTGCGGGCGCTAGGCGTAAGCCTGGCGCCGCACAGGGGCTGGGCATGGGCTCGGCCCCTCAGCCATGGTTTCAACTGCTAGGCGTTGGCCTGGCGTGGCCTGCGTGCCAGGGGTCTCTTGGAGAGACTCGTATCATCAGAGCCCTCAGAGCCCTCCTCCTCCTCCTCCTCCTCCTCCTCCTCCTCCTCCTCTACTTATAAATAGCTCCTCCCTGTCGTAACCCGAGGGTCGAGGTTTTGGGTTCCAGGTTCTCGGACGTTTCCGTTGGCTCCTGGCGGCTTCCCCGCCTCGGGGTGCTGTTCAGCAGCTGCGCCTCCTCGAGAGCGCTCCAGGCGGTGTTCAGGGCACGACGGTCACGAGTCTGCTGCGCGCAGCTGGTTTCGGCCTTGCCGCCTGGCACCTGTGCCCGCCTTGGAGGTAAGACGAAAAACGACCCCCGCGCGGAAGGGTCTCGGAAAAGGGGAGACGAGGAGGAGGAGGAGGAGGAGGAGGAGGAGGAGGACGCCTTGATAAGGACCACTTTGGGCTCAGGAGGGGCCGATCTTCGAGCCGCTCCCTAGGCCTGTAGGTCGGCGAGCCCCTCCGTGGCCGAGGCCTAGGTCGGGGGCCCACTGCTTGGCCCCTCTGGCTGCCGGCCGACGTCCATCGCGGCAGCGACCGCGAGGTCCGCGCCGACCTTTGGGCCGGGCCTCCCCCGGGCTGCTTTTCACAGGCGTGCTGTGGGAGCGAGCGCTCGCTCCTGCTCCGCCTCCGCCTCCTCCGCCCTCCTCTGCCTCCTCCTCATCATCCACCTCCTCCTGCTCCTCTCCTCCCTCCTCATCGCCCTCCGTCCTCCTCCTCCTCCCGCCGCTTCACTGCCTTCTCTGCATCATCCCGCCTCGACTCCTTTTTTTTTTATTTTTTTTTTTTCCTCCTCCTCCTCTCCCTCCTCCTCCTCCCCCTCTGCATCCTCCACCTCTGCCTCCTCCTCTACCTACTTCCTCCGCCTCCCTCCTCCTCCGCCTTCTCTGCCTCCTCTTCCTCCTCCTCTGCCTCCTCCTGCTCCTCCTCCTACTCCTCCTCCGCCTCCTCCTCTTCCCTTCCCGACTTCACGTGCAGGGGAGGGGCCTGCGAGGTGCCGCGCGGTGTCGTCTGGTCTCGGGTTCGGCGCTCGGAGGCGCCCGGGAAGCCAGCTGCACGAGCCGATTCGCTGACGCCCCCTGGGCCTCCAACCCGAGACGCGCGGTGGGCCCTCCGTGGTTGGTCTTGAGTCGGGCGCGTCCCGCTACAGGAGGCAAACACTCAAAAAGAGTCAAACATAGCATGGGGACGATTTTTCGACTATGCCAGACTATGTGTAAACATTTTTTGGCCACTTCGTATTCTGCTCCCAAGGTCCGCCCGACCTGAGGTTGGTCCGGGCCAGCCCCGGGGGGTCGGGCTGCGCAGGTCTGGGCAGGCCCGGCGCCTGTGCTTCGCGCCCGTCCGCGCGCGCGTGCGCGCCCTTGCACGCGTCCACTCGTCCGCGCGGCGGCCCGTCCTCAACGCCCTCCTCCTCCTCCTCCTCCTAATACATTACTCCGACTACGTTAATCATCACTGCTTATCCCCTCCTCAAATTACTCCCACCCTCCTCCTCCTCCTCCTCCTCCTCCTCCTCCTCCTCCTCCTCCTCCTCTTTCTCCTCCTCCTCGGTCGGTCGGTCGGTCGATGAAGGCCTCTGAGTCACGCGGCCTATCAAAGGGCAAGAACAGCCAGTGCGGCGACGAGGGACCCCAGGGAGCCCGAGACCTAAGACGCCCGGACAGCTCCCAGGCCGACGCACCCACCCAAGAGGGGAGACGCAGGGGAGGAAGAAAGAAGACCAGGAGAGGAGGAGCCCGCAGGGGGGGTGCGTAGGCCCAGTCCCCGCCCACCCCCGGAGCCCGCCCACGCAGAGGGCACCAAGGATTTCGAGCCACGCCCAGCAGCACTCGTGGCGCCCCTCACCTCTGCGTCGCTGTCCGCTCGTCCTGCCGAGCCTCGGGCGCAGCTGCCGAGCCACTCCCGCGGCATGCCCGCTGCCCCGCGTCTGCCTTTCTTGCCCCTCTGGGCCTGGGCCAGGCTCAGCCGTCAGCTGCCTGCTGGTGCCTGCTCGCTCAGCGTGGTCGTCCTGTGGCGAACTGCGGCACGAGCTGCACCACGTACGCTCCGTCGGGGCCCCTGACGATCTCGACCCTGTTGGGCCAATTCGTGAGGAAGGTCACGATGTCCGCTTCGCCCACGTGCCGCACGTCGAGGGGCAGCCTCCACTGGGCCTCGAAATCCTCCTCGAGGTTGGCTAACGTAGCTGGCCCTCTGCCTGCAGCCATCCGGTCCACCAGAACGCGTACCACTCCCTGCTCCAACATCCCGGCCATCGCGGCGTGCTCCTCGGGGCGCGAGCTCGCCGTGCCAAGGGCCGCGCGCTCCTCTGGCGCCTCAACTTCCTCGAAGGCCTCGGCACCCTTGTCCTTCTCAACGGCACTCTCTGCCGAGGGGCACGAGCTGCTCCCAACAGACTGCGCCCTGCTCGGGACGGGCGTGCCGCGCCTGCGCCGGAGGGTGGAGCGCTCGCCGTACTCCCCGGAGAGAGCGTCCATCGTCCGCGATTGCTCATCCCGCGGTGGCGCTGTGGGTGCGGGAGGTTCCCATGGCTGCTGCATCCAGTGTGGCGGCGTCCAGGGCGGCGGAGCGCTGCTCGGAGTTGCCTGCGTCGGCGCCCAACCTGCGTCTGGCCCTTGAGCGGCAAGACCGGCTTGAGGCTCAGCGTGCTCGGTGGCCTCGTGGAGCGCCCGCGCCGCTGCCTGGCCAGTGAGGTCGGGCCTCGCCAGGGCCGCGGCAGCTCCTTCCGGATCCCAGTCCGCTCCGTTGCCTCCGCTACCGGCTGCCAAGGGCGCCGAGCCAGAGGGCGCGACCGCGCCGAGGGCCTCCGCCAGCGCTTTTCCGAGGCGCGTGGGGCGGCAGCCCCGGTGGCCGAGGTCCCGGAAGGCGCGTAGCAGCTCTTGAGCCGCGCGCGCCTGCTTGCGCCCCGCCTGGGCACGGCGTTCGGCTGCCGAGCGCCGCGGCCGCTGCGGCTGGCCTGCCGCGGCGCACCAGGGCGGCGCCGCCATCCCGCGGCCGGGGAGGGAGGGGGGCGCAGGGCGAGGAGAGCTCTGGGGGCAGCGGCCGAGGGGGCCGCCTGGCGCGGTCTCGCGGGCCGCACCAGGCGGCGGCCCGGGCCGAGTTGGCGCTCTCCTCCTCCTCCTCCTCCTCCCTCCTCGTCCTCCTCCTCCTCCTCCTCCTCCTCCTCCTCCTCCCTCCTCCTCCCTCCTTCTCCTACTCCTCCATTTCCTCCTCTGCCTCCCCCTCCTCCGTCCTGTTACCCGTGCACGCGTGGCAGCCGTGCGCACAAGCACCACCAGGTGAAGCTCTTTGATGTAAGGGAAGGCAAACCATAAGCGAGCAGAGCACCGCCGGGTGAAGTACTTGACCTCCGAGGTGCCCCAAGTGCCTTCCTGGGCTGCCCGCAATGACCTCCCACGTGCCGTTCCCGAGCTGCCCGCAGTTACCCAAAAGTGTCTTCCACTGCCCAAGTGTCTTCCCCTGCCCAACGGTCAAATCGTCGATGCGCTCGGTCGCGCCACCCGCCCTCCGTCCGCGTGCCCGCCGGAAGCTTTTGCGGCGGACTGGCGTTGCAGCGAGGGCAGCGCGCAAGGGACGCCGCCAGGGTAGAAACCGTGTCTCATCGGAATGCCGCATTTTCTGCCCGCGCGTTTCCATCGGGGGCCTCGGGCGCAAGGCCTGACCCGCTCTGCCGACGCGTCGGATGTTGCGACGAGGAGGGGCCGCTTATGAGGGGGAGTCGCTTGTCATGAGGTGGAACGAAAAGGAAAGGCAGGAGGGGAGGGGATGATGATGACGATGACGATGACGATGACGATGATAATGATGATGAATGATGAATGATTGTGGTGATGATGATGATGATGATGATGCTGATGATGCTGATTATGACGATGATGATGATGATGCTGCTGATGATGCTGATGATGATGATGGTGGTGGTGGTGATGATGATGCTGATGATGATGATGCTGATGATGCTGATTATGATGATGATGCTGCTGCTGATGCTGATACTGATGATGATGATGATGATGATGATGCTGATGATGATGATGATGATGATGATGACGCTGATGATGATGATGATGCTGCTGATGATGATGCTCATGATGATGCTGCTGATGATGATGATGCTGATGCTGCTGCTGATGATGATGATGATGATGATGATGATTAGTATTATGATGATGGTGATGATGATGATGATGATGATGATGATGATGATGATGATGATGATGATGATGATGATGATGATGATGATGATGATGATGATGATGATGATGATGATGATGATGATGATGATGATGAGATGATGATGATGATGATGATGATGATGATGATGAATGAATGATTGATGCTGCTGCTGGCTGCTGATGATGATGATGATGATGATGATGATGATGATGTGCTGAGATGATGATGATGATGATGATGATGATGATGATGATGATGATGATGCTGAAAAGGAGGAGGAGGAGGAGAAGAGGAGGAGGAGGAGGTGGAGGAGGAGGAGGAGGAGAGGAGGAGGAGGACGAGGAGGAAGCGTAGGAGGAGGACGGGCGGGGGATGGCTGCGCGATAGGAAAAGTGGAAGTGTGTTCGGCGGGGGGGGGGGGCCGATGGACATGTCGGAGGGCGGAGTGGACGCGTTGGGGTCGGCAGAAGGGCGAGGGGTCAAGGAAGAAGGGTAGTAGAGAGGAGGAGGAGGAGGAGAGGAGGAGGAGGATGAGGGAGGAGGAGGAGGAGGAGGAGGAGGAGGAGGAGAGGGGGGGGGGGGGAGGAGGAGGAGGAGGAGGAGGAGGAGGAGGAGGAGGAGGAGGAGGAGGAGGAGGAGGAGGAGGGGAGGAGGAGAGGAGGAGGAGGGAGGAGGAGGCTGAGGAGGAGGAGGAGGAGGAGGAGGAGAGGAGGAGGAGGAGGAGGAGGAGGAGGAGGAGGCGGGAGGAGGAGGAGGAGGTAGGAGGAGGAAGGAGGAGGAGGAGGAGGAGGAGGGGAGGAGGATGAGGAGGAGGAGGAGAGGAGGAGGAGGAGGAGGGGAGGCGGAGGAGGAGGAGGTAGGAGGAGGAGGAGGAGGAGGAGGAGAGGAGGAGGAGGAGGAGAGGAGGAGGAGGAGGAGGAGGAGGAGGAAAAGGTCGAATGGGGTCGCAGGGTTCTTAGTCAATCCTTCGCGGTTCATGTGCCTTGTGTATCGTGTGGTGGGTGCTTGGTAGATTCCCCCGTGCAGTTCACGAGCCAGATTGTTTTTACCTCCATTTGTTCTCCTTCCTCCTCCTTCATCATTCTCCTCATCACCCTCTCCGCCCGTCTTCCTCCTCCAAGCCGCCCGCCCTTCTCCCTCCGCCCTCCCTCCCCTCCCTCCCTCCACCCTTCTCTTCTGGGCTCCCCGCAGTGAGAACGACCCGCTGTGGGGACTTCTGATGCGGGCGCCTCGGGCACCAATGTGTGTTTTGCAGCATCGTTGATGCACCGTGCGTCCTCTGTGGTCCTCCCCCTCCCCCTCCTCCTCCTCCGCCTCCTCCTCCTCCGCCTCCTTCTCCTCCGCCTTCTCCTCCTCTTCCTCCTCCTGCACTTTCGCCCGCTCGCTAGGGTCGCCCTTGGTGAGCTGCGTTTCGGCGGAGATCGTTGCCTTACGTATTTCTGATCGTTGATGCAGCTCGAGCCCCGTGGCAACATCGTCTTCGTCGGTAGCAAATCATGGGAGCCTGGCCTACCCCTTTGATTCTGTCTTCAGCGTCGATCAGCGTCGATCAGCGTTTGGGAGTCGATGAGGTAGCGCCCACTTGGCGTCGGTCAGCGTCGATCGGCGTCTGTATATACAGCGTCGATCAGCATCGGTTCGTGCTGATCCGCAAGGGCCGACAAGATGGCATGGGAGGCTCCCGTGAGTTGCCACCGCATCGCCCTCCTCGTCCCGCGCGCGCGCCCCGCGCAAGCGGGCACTCAGAGGGCCACACCGAGCTCGCTCCCGGCCGCGCCCGGCCGGGCGCCGCACCGCAGCGGCCTGCTCGCGCAGAGGGCGGCGCCCGCGCCCCGAGGCGCTCGGCTGCCGCCAGCACCTGCTCGGCACCTGCTCTGCGTGGCTCCGGCTCCTGTTGCTCGGACGTGCCGGCGCGGCCCCCCTCTTCGTCCTCCTCCTCGCCCTCCTCGCCCTCCTCCTCATCGCTCCTCCTCCTCCTCGCTCCTCGTCCCCCTCGTCCCCCTCGTCCTCCTCCTCGTCCCCCTCGGCAGCATCGTCGTCCTCCTCCTCCTCCTCCTCCTCCTCCTCCTCCTCCTGCACCCGCTCTGCGTGGCGCCAGCTGCTGGTCGGGCGCGCCGGAGCGGCCCCCTCCCCCCTGCCTCGCCGTGCCGCCCGCGGAGGTGCGGGGGGCCATCGGAGCTGCGGGCGGTCGAGGAGTATGCGGCGTGCCTTGCGGCAGGTGCCCGTGCCCGAGCGGCCACGCTGGGCGGGGGGGGGGAGGGGGCAGGAGGAGGAGGAGGAGGAGGAGGAGGAGGAGGAGGAGGAGGAGGAGGAGGAGGAGGAGGAGAGGCGGAGGAGGAGGTGGAGGAGGAGGAGGAGGAGGATGAGGATGAGGATGACGAGGAGGAGGAGGAGGAGGAGGAGGAGGAGGAGGAGGTGGGCGGAGGGAGGAGGAGGAGGAGGAGGAGGAGGATAGGTGGGAGGAGGAGGAGGAGGTGGGAGGAGGAGGCAGGAGGAGGAGGAGGAGGAGGAGGAGGAGGAGGAGGAGGAGGAGGAGGAGGAGGTGGGAGGGGACGGAGGCTGGAGAGGGTCTTTCCCGCCTGGCTGGCGCATACTCTGTGCCCTTGCGGGCCCCCGGTTTGTTCCCTGTTCTTTCTGCCCCTTCTTTCGCCGCTGCGCCAGCCCGGCGATCGTAGTTTCTTCTCTGAGGCCTCGCACTGTCTTTTTTTCACAACGCAGCAAGCTCTCGCTTAATGTATGGCCAAGGTCAAAATAAGGTTGTGGAGGAGGAGGAGGACCAGTGTAAACCCAAGACTCATCAACGATCTTGGAGTAACCCTCCCTCCTCCAAACTCCCTCTTCATAGGCCCCTGAAAGAATGCATTTCCACTCGGGAAGTGCTGTGCTGTGGGACGGTAGCAGTTTCACTTGGATCAGATGTGTTCAGATCTAGGATGGACGAGTGTGCAGAACAGATGTGACAACGCAATACGCAAAGGGGTATCGTTAAGTCCGGGGGGGAGGGGGGGAGAGTTCAGATCTCCTTTAGAAAAGAGAATCTAGGGCGTCGACGAGGCGGCGACGGGGCGGCGATGGCGGCCACATAGCTGCCAGACCGACCGACAGACAACCCCAGACGCGGCGATAGGGCGGGGACGGCGGCTACATAGCCGCCAGACCGGCAGACAGGCCCAATTCCTTAGAGCAGAAGTGACAACCCATCATGGGGAAGCATTGTTTGGGGAATCTGACATGAGCATGAAGAGTATAATCAAAAACGACAGCAAACCCAACAACAACACCAACAACACCACTACTACCACCACCACCACCAACAGCAACCACAACACCAACAACACCACTAACAGCAACAACAACATGAGCACTACCACCAGCAACAGCCACCAACAACAACAACCACACCAACAACACCAACATCACTTACACCACCAACACCAACAACACCAGTACTACTGACAACAGCACCAACACCAGCATTACCACACATAGTAATGGTGCGTTCAGTAGTAGCACTGATGCTGCTACTACTACTATTCCTTTTATTCTCACTATCATCCTTATTTCCTACCACGGTTGCTACTACTGTTGCCGCGACGACTACTACAAACACTACGACGAGTACTACTACTACTACTACTACTATTACTACTACTGCTACTACTGCTACTACTGCTACTACTGCTATTACTACTAGTACATCTACTTCTACTTATATTTCTTCTATTATTACTACTACGACTACTGCTACTACCACGGCTACTTCTACTACTAGTGCTGCTACTTTTACTTTTACTTTTACTGCGACTACTCTTACTTTTACTGTTACATCTACTATTACTATTACTATTGCTATTACTATTACGATTACTATTACTATTTCGATTACTATTACTACTAGTATTACTATTACCAATACTATTACTATTACTATTACTATTACTATTACTATTACTATTACTATTACTATTACTACCACTATTGCTATTTACTATTACGATTCCTATAATTATTCCTATGATGCTTCCCAGCACTATTACTATTACGAATACTATTACTATTACTACTAATAGAACTAGTACTTTTATTACTACTACTACTCTGATTACTATTGTTATTGCTATTACTATTCCTACTACTACTACTACTATGACTATCATTATTAATTTTACTATTTCTATCGCTTCTACTATCACGATTACCATTGCTAGTACTAGTGCTATTACTATTACTATTACTATTACCCATCAACTAATAACTATTACATATTATTACAACTATTACTATCACTCACTATTAGTATCACTAGTTTTATACATGCTACTATCACTATAAGTAGTAGTATAACTATTACTACTTACGACTACTTCTACTTCTTCTTCTTCTAATTCCACTGCTTCTATCAATACTGCTAGTAATACTGCTACTACCACTGCTACTTCTACTGCTAGTACTGCTACTTTTACTTTTACTGCGATAACTTTTACTATTACTATCACTATTACGATCACTTTTACTAATTACGATTCTGAGTATTATTATTATTACTATTATCATTACTATGATATTATTATTACTACTACTATTACTATTACTAGTACTATTACTATTGCTATTACTATTACTATCACTATCACTATTACTATTACTATTAATATTACTAGTACTATTACTATTAATATTACTAGTACTAGTGCTATCACTACTACTATTTGTATTTATATCACTATTACTATTACTAGTACTATTACTAGTACTATTACTAGTACTATTACTATCACTACTACTATTACTATTACTATTACTATTACTGTTACTATTACTATTACTATTACTACTACTACTACTATTACTATTACTATTACTATTACTATTACTAGTACTAGTACTATTACTATTACTGTTACTATTACTATTTCTAGTACTATTACTATTACTATTACTATTACTTTTTTTTTTTTTACTAGGACTATGACTATTACTATGACTATTACTATTTCTATTACTATTACTATTACTATTACTATTACTATTACTATTACTATTACTGTTACTATTACTATTACTATTACTATTACTATTACTATTACTATTACTATCACTATCACTATTACTATTACTATTACTATTACTATTACTATTACTATTACTATTACTATTACTATTACTATTACTATTACTATTACTATTACTATTACTAGTGCTAGTGCTAGTACTAGTACTAGTACGAGTAGTAGTACTAGTACTAGTACTAGTACTAGTACTAGTGTACTATTACTAGTACTAGTACTAGTACTAGTACTAGTACTATTACTAATACTAGTACTATTACTACTACTATTACTACTACTACTGCTACTACTATTACTATTACTAGAGTTAGTACTATTACTATTACTATTACTTTCACTATTACTATTACTATTACTATAACTATTACTATGATTATGATTATGACTATGATTATGTTTATGACTATGACTATTACTATTATTATTACTGTTCCTATTACTACTACTTCTCCTACTACTTCTGCTACTGCTGCTACTTCTGCTACTACTACTGCTGCTGCTGCTAGTAGTAGTAGTAGTAGTAGTACTACTACTACTACTACTACTAGCACATGACACCGCTATCGCCATTATGGTCATTCTTAGATCCATCCGTATATCTACTGTAATGATTTTGTTTGCATCGTTTCTGTTGCTGCTGCTATCATCTAAATAATACGGATTCAAACGCACCACTGATACTCAGCATGATAGAAATCGTATTATTAATACGGGTGAACGTGATAGGATTACTCGCAGTCAACATGTAGGAGAAAGCACATAGGAGGAGGGAGGAGGGAGGAGGGAAGTTGGAGGAGGGAAAAGGGAGGGAGGAGGAGGGAGGAGGGCCGAGGGCAGAGGGCGGAGGGAGGAGGGAGGAGGGAAGAGGGAAGAGGGAGGGAGGAGGCAGGAGGCAGGAGGGAGGAGGGAGGCGGGAGGATTGAGGAGGAGGGAGCCAGGGAGAGGGAGGAGGGACGAGAAGGAGGTGGAGGAGGAGGCGACGGGGAGAAAGGCTGGAACGAGTCCCAGCCGGGGAGGGCCTCCCGCCGGCCGGCCCGCGGCGGCGCGGGCCCGGGCGGGCGAGCAGAGCGAGGGCTTCTGCGCCGAGGAGCCGCTGGAGCTGCTGTCAGGCCGGGGCGGGCCCTCTGGAGGGCGGACGGGCGACCAGCGGCATATCGTTTATGGTTATGCCGTTTTTTGTTGCTGTTGCTGTTGTTGTTGCTGTTGCTGTTGCTGTTTTCTGTTGTTGCTGTTGTTGTTGTTGCTGTTGCTGTTGCTGTTTTTTGTTGTTGCTGTTGCTATTGCTGCTGTTGTTGTTGTTGTTGCTGTTGCTGTTGTTGTTGTTGTTGCTGCTGTCATTGTTGTTGTTGATGTTGTTGTTGTTGTTGCTGCTGCTGCTGCTGTTGCTGTTGTTGTTGTTGTTGTTGTTGTTGTTGTTGTTGTTGTTGTTGTTTTTGTTGTTGCTGTTGTTATTATTGTTATTGCTGTTGTTGCTGCTGCTGCTATTTTTGTTTCTCCCCCAGGTGGGTTTGAAGTGGGTTACAGCTGTTGTCTGGCCGTGGCGGGCCCTCTGGAGGGCGGAGGTCGACTAGACGTAAGAGTGACCTTCCGCCGGAGTGACCTTGGTCGGAAACTGGAACATCTACGTTACCAGTGGCGTGCTGTTTTTCAATCCCTGGACTTCCTTTGACGGTCAGGACGACGTCGGGGTGGTGTGGTGTATCCTTTTTTCCCCCGTTATTCTAGGAATGACGAAGATGTATACACCAGCATCCCGTATATACCAGGATCCGCTTTCCAGTGCGAGTTCCAGTGTAGGGCCGGAAAAAGCGTCGGTGTATAGAGTTCGGTTCCCTACTTTGGTGCGGGTACAGATGGGCCCTCATATGGCTGAAAACGAAGCGGTAGCAGCGGCTTGCGCGCCCAGGCTTGGTCCCCCCGCGGCCCCCCAGAAGCCGCGCACCAAAGGTCACTTCTTACCCAGGGTCACTTTTGCGAGTAGCCGAGGAGGATGACCAGCAGCATATCGGCATCGGCGCGGGGGCCGCTCAGGGGATGGGTGGGCTTGTCAGTGGATGCCAAGGGTCGAGGGAGAGAAAGCGGCACAAACAGAAACTTTGGCGCTCCGCGCGGGTTTCTTGGATCCGCGCTGGGCCCCCCCCCGTCGGCGCCTCCGGATGCAGATCCAAGAAATCCGCGCGGACTGGCGAACGTTAATGTTTATGCCGCTCTCTCCCCCCCCCCCAGGTGGGGTTGAAGTGGGTTACAGCTGCCCCAAGTGGCTTACTTTAGGGGGGGGAGATAACTCCGCTGAGTGGGCTGAGCCACTTAGCCCGGATCGTGACCCTCTCGAAGCCATTTGGGGCTCTCGTAGCCCAGTTATACGCTAGGTTAGGTCAGGTCAAACCCACGTTGGCATCCACTGATAGCGCACCTCTCACCTGAACAGCCCCCGCGTCGGGCCCCCGCGTCGATCCCGGCAAGCTCTGTTTTTTTTGAGGCGTCCTTGGTCTAAGGTGCCCGCTGGTTGTCACTCCATTTTGGAGCCCCTGGCGCGAGGTGCTCTGGGGGCCGCGGGGGCCTACTGGGATATCCTTGGGACTCCTTGGGCCAGGGACACTTCTGGCAACTCCGGGTGACTTGCCCATCCTCACTGGGCCGTGGTATCTCAACTGCGCCAGCCCACCCCCGCAGCGCACATCCCCAGCCAGGGGGGCAGGTCGGCCAGAGGGGCCAAGGCCATGCTGGTGGGTATGGGGATCGATGGACCGATCCTCATCGGGGAGGACCGGTCGCTTTGATCGACTTCCTCCCCAGGGAGCAGGTTGGCCAGAGTGGCCAAGACCATGCCAGTGGGCATGGGGATCGATGGACCGATCCTCATCGGGGAGGACCGATCGCTCTGATCGACTTCCGCCTCCTCCTCTCCCTCCTGCTCCCTGCTGGCGGTCGCCTCCCTCTGCCTCCTCCCGCCTGCCCGCCCGCCCGCCTCGTCCCGCCGGCGCCCCGCCTCCCAACCCGCACCATCGTCGTCGCCTGCCTGCCTCTCGATTCCGCTCTCTCTTCTTCCTTCAAGCAGTGGCGAAGCGTCCCGGCTCGCCTATAGCACCACCAAACAATGTTCTAAGAACTTTTTGTGGTTCCCACGAAATGTTCTTAGAACATTTCTGGATGCTGTCTTGTTTAACACATCGGGCTTATGTTCTAAGAACATTGTTTTCGTTCTTAGAACATTTTCGGGTTCTAAGAACATTTCGTGGTATGACTATAGGAATGCCGGGACGGTCGGTCCCTGCTCAATTTCTCCGCCTCGGCGCAGCACAGAGTGCCGGGAGCCGACGGCGCAATGCCGCGGTCTCGAGGAACTCGGATGCGCGTTCGCCCTCTTCCTGGGCGTCCCGGAGCGTCTCGTCGCCACGTCCGGCCTCTCCTTCGACGTGCTGCTCTAATTGCGCCTGAGGAGAGCTGCGGGGTTTGTTAGGGTAACGGAGAATGACAGGAGTATAAAAACTCGGAGGGCCGCGCGAATTTCTTGGATCCGCGCTGGACCCCCCTCCCTGGCGCGCGGAGCGCGCCGGGGGCGGCGCCGGAGGCGGCGCCGGGGGGCCCCAGCGCCGATCCGAGAAGTCCGCCCGCGCAGACCTCCGAGTTTCTATGCTTCTGTGTCTGCTATGCCACTCCTCGTTCCCCCAGTTGTTTTCCAGGGCCGCCGCGGAGGGACAAGAACGTCCAGCTGGAAGCGAGCCCCGGTTCCCCCCCTTCCTCTCTCGGGCTCCAGGGCCGTCCAAGAGAGCAGCTCAGGAGGGAGGGCCGGTCCCCGAGCTCGGCCCCGAGGTCCGGCACCCCCGGCGTCGGCCACGCGCCGAGGGGAGTGCGGGAGAGGGGGGAGGAGGAGCAGGAGCAGGAGCAGGAGGAGGAGGAGGAGGAGGAGGAGGAGGAGGAGGAGGAGGAGGAGGAGGAGGCTGCTTCCTAGAAGGCGCAGGCCTTGCATCTCGGGGGTGGCCAGAACCCCCACCCTGACACGTCGATTGGTGAACTGTCCGTTTTCGGTCCTCGAGGGGGCGCCGCGGCCGTCATTTTCCAGGCTTGCGTCCGCCAGGTTTGGGCCTGAGGTCGTTTTCACTACACCACGTTTGACTAAAGGGAGTTCTTTCCATCTCCGAACATCTACAGACATCACAGAACACCAAACCACCCCAACCCAACCCCAAAGGCCCCGATTTGCCCTCCATTTCCGGTGGTGGGGGGGTCCAGGAACATGAACAAAACACATATGAAGGCCCATACCCCCCGAACCCGAAATTCGGGCGAAATTCGGGTTTTTGGGTTGGGTTGGGGTGGTCTGGTAGGTAATCAAGACAACGCCCACGCCTTCTAAGAAGCAGGGGTGCTTATAAGAAGCCTTCCCCCTCCCCCTACCCCGGGTTCCCCTCTGCGCGCCGCCAACGTTGCCATCAGGACCCCTTTCTCCTCCTGCTCTCCTTCTCCTCTTCCCCTCCTCCTCCTCCTCCTCCTCCTCCTCCTCCTCCTTCATGCTGAATCCGCGGGGTCGAGGCTGCTCAGGGGGTGATCGAGGCTCGAGGCCCTGCGGAGGATCGTGGATCGAGTGCCGGTGTCCTCCAGCGGATCGATCCTAGGGCGGCCCTCTGGAGGACCGAGGATCGAAGCTCTCCTCCTAATACGCATCATCCTCCTCTCCCTCCTAATCCTACGCCGCCTCCTCATCCATCACCACCCTCCATTTATCTACCTAATATCATACGCCTCATCATACCTCATCATCATATCCTCCTCATCCTCCATACTCCTCCTCCTACTCCATCCCATACAACTCCTCTATATACACTCCCTCCCATTATCCCTCCATTCCCTACATACATCACTATCCTCCTTCATACTTCTCTCCTACTCCACCTCAACTCCAACCTAAGACACAACCCCCCCCCCTCCCTCACCCCGTACCTCATCACACTCATCCTACACCTCCCTCAATCCTGACCTCCTCCTGCTACTCCTGCTTCTCTCCTCCTCTGCATCCCTCCTCCTTTCCTCCCTAATCCTCCTCCTCTACCTCCTCCTCCGCGTCTCTCCTCCCCCTTCTCTCCCAGTCCTTCCTCTCTCATCCCAAACTCTCCCTCCCTCCCTCCCCTCCCCTCCATGCCCTCCCTCCCCTCCCTCTGCCTCCCTCCTCGCCGCCGTCCGCCGCCCCGCCCGCGAGCACGCCACAGTCGCCCCGCGCGAGCGCCGCGGAGGCATGGCCGGCGCGCCCCCGGGGGCCAGTTGCCCGATCCTGCTGCACCCCTCCTGCCTGCACGGGGCGGCCGCGGCGGCGGGCCCGGCGCCCCAGCGTCGGGGGCGGCGGCGGGGAGGCGGGAGGGAGGGGTGGGGGAGGGGGGGAAGGGAGGAGGGAGGGAGGGAGGGAGGGAGGGAGGGAGGGAGGGAGAAGGGAGGAGGGATGGGGTGGGTGGGGTGGGGAAGGAGAGGAAGGAGGAGGGAGGAGGGAGGGAGAGAGGGGGGAGGGGCAAGCTAGGTGCGCTCGCGTCATATCTGACATCCTACCCCTCCCTCCCATCCCTTACCATGTCGTAGATCCCCTCTCTACTCGCACAGTCGGATGTCGAGCAGGGCAATGATCCCGAAAGGGTACGCGATGCATTGTATAGCACGGCATGGCATGGCGTAGAAGAGCACCGCAAAGCGTAGTATGTCACAGCATGGCGTGGCGTGGCGTAGTGACGAATTGCATCACAAAGCTTTGCAACGCAAAGCATGGCATCGCACAGCGGCCCCGAACATAACATTGCATAGCATAGCGTTGAAGATCAAAGCAAAGCATGGCATAGCACGACGTGGCACTTAAGCAGTGCATATCACAGCGTCAGCTGAAGGCATGGCATCGCGCAGCGGAACGCAACCCAGCATTGCATCGCATGCCGTGGCATGGCACGGGAAATGACGCCAGCGCTGCAGCGGGAGCACGATTCGGAACGAGCGGAAGCGCGGAAATGAGGCCAGCGCTGCAGCGGGAGCACGATTCGGAACGAGCGGAAGCGCGGAAATGAGGCCAGCGCTGCAGCGGGAGCACGATTCGGAACGAGCGGGGCCCGAAAACGAGGCCGGCGCCCCAGCGAGAGCAGCATTTTGAAAAAAATGCAGGCGAAAACCCAACTCCGGGGAATCCTGTGTGTAAACAAGCAGTGCGCTGGGGGGGGGCGAACACTCCCAACCCGTCATCAGGGGAAGGAGGAGAGTAGTATTCATATTGAGTAATTGTGGAGGAGGGAGGAGGGAGGAGGGAGGGAGGAAGAGGAGGAGGAGGGAGGAGGGGGAGGGAGGAGGGATGGGGGAGGGGAGGAGGGAGGAGGGAGGAGGGGAGGAGGAGGAGGGAGGGAGAGAGGGAGGAGGGAGGAGGCTGGGGGAGGGAGGGGGAAGGGGGGAGGGGGGAGGAGGGAGGAGGCTGGGGGAGGGAGGGGGAAAGGGAGAGGAGGGAGGAGGGAGCCAGGGAGGCCGCTCCTGGCGCTCCCCCCCGCGTTCCCGTGAAAGCCTCATGTAAAGGCGTATCTCGGGCGTGTCCCGTCTCAACAGAAATGATATTCAAACATAGGAAATAGTCTGGGGACGATTCTTGCAATATTTTGAACATTTTTGGGGGCACGTTCTGATTATTTTTCATCCAAAATCCGCCTGAAGGAGGGCATGCCCGACCTAAATGTAAGCCTCATGTAAATGCTTCAGTTGGCGCACCCCCCCCACCCTGGGAGTTGGCACCGTCTGGCGGTGTGCCCTGCTTGGGACTGGGGGGGAGTTCGCCGGCTTCCACTTGCAGAGCGCACTGGCTGGTCGGACACGCGGCTGCGCAGGGAGGGAGGAGGGAGGGAGGGAGGGGGGAGTGGTTGGCGATCGACGTTCGGTCCGTACCCCTGCTGCCGCCTCTCACTCTGAGCGCCAGGGGGAGCAGGGCATGGGGCAAAAGCTCGGCTCCAGAGGCTAGACGTCTGCCGGGTCCCTCGTCGGGTCTGCGCGTCAGTGGGGGCATGGATAACGCGTTGATCGCCTGAGTGGGGATTGGGGAGGGAGGAGGTTGGAGGGAGCGCCCATCGCAATCTCCAGGGCGTGCCCCTGACGGCCCGTGGTTGACGTCCCCAGCTAAGGCGTGTGCCCCCTCCCTTCTGTGAGCTCCTCGCCCAGGGTTTCATCCAAGAGGCTCAGGACTGGTGGCCAAGAGATTATTTTCTTTTCGCTGAGCCCGTGAAGTCCGTTACGGGGGGGCGCCCCTCTCCCCCCTCCCAGGAACGTCACTCAACTTACGCGGGGGGACGTGGTTCCCCTACACGTATGGCGCGGTGTTCACAGGCATGCCGTGGTTCTGACAGGCGTGTTGTGGTGCTCACACGACAAGCATGCTGTGGCTGTCGCAGGCACGACTCCCCCCCGGGACCCCCCCTCCTCTCCCCCTTACTGTGACCGTCGTCACGGCGCTGGGAACCGGGTCAGAGACTGAACAACCGTGTCAGAGACTGGAACAACCGGGTCAGAGAAAGGGCCGAGCCGTGTGAGAGACTGGGCCCAGCCGTGTCAGAGACTGGAACAACCGGGTCAGAGACTTGGCCGAGCCGTGTCAGAGACTGGGCCCAGCTGTGTCAGAGACTGGAACTACCGGGTCAGAGACTTGGAGGAACCACCAGGTCATTTGTTTTGTTTTGTCGCCGTCGTCGTCGTCGCCGTCGTCGCCGTCGTCGTCGACGTCGTCGTCTGCGTCGTCGTCGTCGTCGTCGCCGCCGCCGCCGCCGCCGCCAGCTCGGCCGGCCCGGCCCGCGCGCCGGCTCGGCCCGGCCCGTCGTCGTCGACGTCGCCGCCGTCGTCGTCCGTCGTCGTCGTCGTCGTCGTCGTCGTCGTCGTCGTCTTCGTCGTCGTCGCCGCCACCGCTGCCGCCGCCGCCGAGGAGGAGGAGAAGGAGGAGCGTTGGCAGGATAATGAAGGAGATGTGGAGCCCCGTGTCGCGTGAGAAATCCTCGTAACCCAGGGCTCCGAGATGCCCTGACTTGGGATGACTCGGCCGACTGGCTTGGGACATCCTCAGAACACTCAGTTCCAAGATGCGGCTCTCGAAGTGATCCGGCGCATTGCGCATCAGACATCCTCGGACCTCTGGGCTCCGAGATGCCCTGGCTTGAGGTGATCTGGCCGGTTTCGCTCGGGACGTCCTCACATCTCTTGGTTCAATATGAGGTTATTGAAGTAGTCTGGCCGTTTTCGCGTGAAATTGGTTTCGGAATTTTGGCATCCGAGATGCCCGGACTTCGGGTTATCTGGCCTGGGTGGCCCAGGACCTCGTCACAGAAGAGCATCCATGGAGAGGGGGAGGAAGACGAGGAGGATGAGCAGGCCCGTTTTGCGTGAAACATCCTCCGAACTGGGCTCCGAGATGCTCTGGCCACTCATCAGGTTATCTGGCCCATTGCGCTTGGGACACCCTTGCAACTCTGTCGATGAGCATCCAGTGAGGGGGAGGTGGCAGAGGGAGGAGGAGGAGGAGGAGGAGGAGGAGGAGGAGGAGGAGGAGGAGGAGGAGATTGAGGAGAAGGAGGAGGAGGAGCAGCAGCAGGCCCATTTCGCGTGACACTTGATGATCATCACATTGCCAGCGTTGAGGCCAAGAAGCGCACTCCAAGCGTGCTGGCTCGCGGGCACCGCACGTCGCATTGCCAGCGATGTCGGAGGGAAGCTCTTTTCGAGCGTGCCGGCTCGCTTATGATGCACATCACATGGCCACCATTTCTGCCGCGAAGTTCATCCCATGCGTGCCCGATCGCACGCGATGGTCATCACGCTGCCATCGTTGTTGCCAGGAAGTTCAGTCCGAGCGTGCCCGCTCGCTTCCAGCAGGCGTTGCGTTACTGTGTTACTCAGAAGGGTTGGCCGGGGGGTTGGCGACACCAATTCTTAGATAACCAATTGTTTCCATAACATAGAGTATCTCATCCTACCTCCTCCCACCCCTCCCCCATCATACCTTCTCCTCCTACCTCTTACCTTCTCCTCCCACGTCCTCCTGATTCCGCAAAGCGGTAGCAAGTGCATCGTCGGATCCTCTCATCGCAAGAGCGTTCTGCCGCAATGTTTTTTTTTGTTCTGCCTGTGGGCAATTCGCAGCGCGGCCAGGAATAAATATGGAAGGGGTCATTACAGCTGACCCCGGGCTGGCACGAACGAGAACGTGAGGGCGAGAGGAAAGTACACTAATGGAGGAGGGGGGGTGATGAGCGGAAAAAGCGAACGACAAGGCACAGGACAGAGAAGGAGTATTCCGTGGCGTCAGAAATTCAGAGGTAGTCCTTTTCCGAGTCGTCTTCGGCCTCCTCCGACTCACCGCCCTCGCAATCGGCCTCCTCGGATTCTTCGACCTCGGGCTCGAGGTCGTCCCCGGATTCATCGGGCTCCGCGAAATCACCAGGCGTCCTCGCGAGCGCCCGGCGCCCGAGGGCTGTATCGGAAGTGTACACGATGAGGGACCCTTTGCTCATGTACGTTTCCAGGAGAACCCAGTGATCTGCCATGATGCCGTCGGCGCCCATGCACGGGCTGAACTTGACGTGGAAGAGCATTGGGCCGCCATCATCCCCGTACGAGATGACGGGGTTCTCGGCATTGTGGGTGCCGCTAAGCAATATACGGCCCCCAAGCACTTCTGCGAGATACCGAAGCTCGTCCATCCCCGGATACCCATCCGCGCCCGCGAAGCGCAAGCGAGCGGCTTCGTCTTGTTTGCCATGGCGCTCCATGCAAGCGATGAGACGTTCCGAGATGGCCTTGGCCTCGAGCCGCTCCGCGCGCTCTCTGATGCGGTCGTGCATCCAGCCCTCGTCGTCTCTATCTTGCATCCATGCCACGGGGTCCCGCGCGGCGATGGCGACATAATAGAAGCAAAGCCCGTCCGGCGGCACGGGGAAAGATACCCCGCCGCCAGCGTCGACTATCCCCACGTCGCTGTCGGGGATCTCGAGCGCCGCAGCCTTGCCCTCGCCCTCGCACTCCGCGCTGTCCCCGGCCAGCTCCATGATCACAACTTCGAGGGCGCAGTCGTGGTACAGGGCAGACTGCTCCGACACGACATCGGCAGTGCCCTCTTTGACTAAGCTGAACGTGGTAGATGTCCTTCAGGCGGAACGGAAACATAATATCACGAGCGCGAGGGAAATCAGGCAGAGAGGGGATACGCGGACAACGAAGAATACGGATGAGAGGGGAGCGGGGCCGCGTGTTCCCCATATCCTAAGATGGGTTCTTGTTATAATTTTGACCGTGCTGAGAGAACCTTCGCCCCTCTCCTTTTCCGCC